GCAGTTATCATTACATAATTATAAAATTTTCTCATTAATTATGCAAATTAGGTCATTATTAACATAATCAATATTTTCCTGTGTTTCTTTCGTTGTCAATTACCAATGTCACAAGCTTTAATTGTCCTATCATGGAATACAGCTGATTTATAGAATTTCCCCATAAATTATGCAAATTACATCCATATTTGCATAATTGTCACATAATTATATTAAGCATCACGTAAGCTACCTACATACCAAAAATCACGACGATCCGTCAACCGGTTCTTGAGTTATCCCCTTTTGAATATTTTCAAGAATATATCGCTGCAGTTCCAGAGCAAGCCGCTAGGGGGCCTAAACTCACGTCACTTCTTCCCCAGCACAAGAGCTACCTACCATCTAAATTTCATCACCATAGCATGTCTAGATCATGAGATATCAAAACCGGAAGTTCAGCTGCAGTACCATAACAAGCCGCTAGGGGGTCCAAAATCTAATCATTTTGAGGTCTCATCAAGACCTACCCACCTACCAAGTATCAAAATAATCCATCAAGGCCTTCTCAAGTTATCGTGTTTACAGACAGACAGACACACACACACACACACACACATGCACGAACGCCCCTGAAAACATAACCTTCTTGGCAAAGGTAATAAAACAGGTGCAGGAGGAAGGAAAAAAAAGCTTATTTAGCTTATGCTAAGCCCTCCTCTATGTACTAACCAAAAGTAAACATAATTGAATTGAAATAATGCATACATACATAAGGAATTGTTATCAAAATAATTCAAACATGGGCAAAATGATACAATAACTAGAGTTCCCCGATCTCATACCTTCGCCAAATGATGTTAATCTTTATGGCTGACAAATGATAGATTATTCCCCCTGCTTGTGCAAATAGGATCCTCATTTTCATGAATTATATCAGTTTATCATATTCTCAACCAAAAGACAGTCTTATATTAACAAACAATGCCATTCTAGCATTTCCTCATAAATTATGCAAATGAGGTGCTGATTTGAATACATTATGTTTAATGATGTTCACCTTCACTGTACTTTCAAAGACCATAAGTATGAAATTCCAGGCAGTTATCATTACATAATTATAACATTTTCTCATTAATTATGCAAATTAGGTCATTATTAACATAATCAATATTTTCCTGTGTTTCTTTCGTTGTCAATTACCAATGTCACAAGCTTTAATTGTCCTATCATGGAATACAGCTGATTTATAGAATTTCCCCCATAAATTATGCAAATTACATCCATATTTGCATAATTGTCACATAATTATATTAAGCATCACGTAAGCTAGCTACATACCAAAAATCACGACGATCCGTCAACCGGTTCTTGAGTTATCCCTTTTTGAATATTTTCAAGAATATATCGCTGCAGTTCCAGAGCAAGCCGCTAGGGGGCCTAAACTCACGTCACTTCTTCCCCAGCACAAGAGCTACCTACCATCTAAATTTCATCGCCATAGCATGTCTAGATCATGAGATATCAAAACCGGAAGTTCAGCTGCAGTACCATAACAAGCCGCTAGGGGGTCCAAAATCTAATCATTTTGAGGTCTCATCAAGACCTACCCACCTACCAAGTATCAAGACAATCCATCAAGGCCTTCTCAAGTTATCGTGTTTACAGACAGACAGACAGACAGACACATACACGAACGCCCCTGAAAACATAACCTTCTTGGCGAAGGTAATAAACAATAACAATAATGAAACAATAGTGTACATAAAAAATAATAATAACTGAAGATAGGAATCTAATACAAGGGGCTGGGGTGGTTTATAAGATGGGCTTTCAGGGTATTTTTAAAAGTTACAAAAGAGGAAGTTGTTCGTATGTTTGTCTGAAGGCTGTTCTATATAATGAGACACATTTCTATTTTACGGAGGATTGTGCTAATGACGTTCTTACAAGGGGAATATGGATATGAGCACTTTGTCGAGTTTGGTAAGTATGAAAATGGGAATTAAGATTTAAAAGACCATTAAATGTGTCTGGAAGAGAACAGTTTAGGAATCTAAACGTAAATAGCATCAGGTGAAGTCTGTTTATATCAAAAATATTCAAAATCTTAAGTTTTGTGCAGAATGTGCGTGGAAACTGGCGCCGGCTTTTTTGGAGTAATACTAGGGGCTGTAGTGTGGTTTTGTAGGCGCATCCCCAGACTATATTCCCGTAGGTTAGATATGGGTATATCAAGCTATTGTATATGGTAATAATGGTTTTTTGAGTAAGAAGATGTTTAAGTTTTCCAATAATACCGATAGTTTTTGAATTTTTTTTACCTAACATAGTTATATGTGATTTCCAGGTCAATCGTTCATCAATGATTATTCCTAAGAATTTGGCTTGACTCTCTTGAGAAAGGGGCACACTTTTTAAAAAGATTTTGGCGCTTCTGTTGTAGGTTTTATTTCTATTACAGAAAACTAGAGTTCCACGACCTCATACCTTCGCCAAATGATGTTAGCCTTTATGAATAAGAAATATACTAATCACCCTGATTATGCAAATAGGATCCTCAATTGCATGAAATACCACCAAAAGACAGTCTTATCTTAACAAAGAATGCCATTTTCTCATAAATTATGCAAATGTGGTCCTTATTTGAATAAGTTATGTTTAATTATGTTCACCTTCACTTAACTTTCAAACACCCCAAGTATGAAATTCCAGGCAGTTACCACTACGCAATTATAACATTTTCTCATTAATTATGCAAATTAAGTCTTCATTTGCATAATCAATATTTGCCTGTGTTTCTCTCGTTCTTAATAACATATGTTACAAGCTTGAACTTCCTATCATGGAATGCAGCTGATTTATAGAATTTCCTCATTAATTATGCAAAGTACATCAATATTCGCATAATTGTAATATCATTATGTCAAGCATCACTTAAGCTACCTACATACCAAACATCACGATGATCCATCAATCGGTTCTTGAGTTATCCTCTTTTAAACATTTGTCCTTTAAACCCCCCTGCAGTTCTAGAGCAAGCCGCTAGGGGACCTCAACTCACGTCACTTCTTCCCCAGCACAAGAGCTATCTGCCATCCAAATTTCATCACCATAGCATGTCTGGATCTTGAGATATCAAAACAGGAAGTTCAGCTGCAGTACCATAACAAGCCGCTAGGGGGTCCAAAATCTAATCATTTTGAGGTCTCATCAAGACCTACCCATCTACCAAGTATCAAGACAATCCATCAAGGCCTTCTCAAGTTATCGTGTTGACAGACAGACAGACAGACAGACACACACACACACACACACACACACACACACATACACGAACGCCCCTGAAAACATAACCTTCTTGGCGAAGGTAATAAGGTAGTATGTCTTCTTAATATTGACTGATAATTTATTTGCCTCAAACCACGATATAACCTTTTTCAATTCTTCGTTAACCAGGTTTACTAGCGTATCAAAATTCGAGTTTGAAAGAAAAATATTTGAATCATCTGCAAATAGGATAAAGAATATAATTGAGGATGCTTTTTCGAGGTCATTTATATAAATAAAAAAAGTAGGGGTACTAGTATCGAACCCTGTGGGACACCACATTCTTATTTACGTCTGACATTCAACCGTTACCATGGCAACTATCGAATAAGATAATGATAAGATAAACAGCTGCAACTAACAGACTTCAATCAGCCAGCACTTCCACCGAAGGTTCTATTTGTTGTTCGGCATACATATAATCACATTGTTCACAATGTAAGGCTGTCACAGGGGTCAGTATATATACAGGTTAAGGCGCGGTCACATTTCCCAACTCGGGGCCCGGCCGGGCAGTGGTTTGGAACGAAATTTATGATATAAGACAGGAAAACAGAATGAAAACAGAATGAAGAACAGAAAGAAAATTAACCATGAGCACTATTTGTGTATACTCTTAATACACATTGTTTATTTTTCGTTCACGCAAACAACCCGACCGGGCCGCGGCTTGGAAATGTGACCGTGCTCTTAGTACCTCGGCTCCAGGGTACAAGTCACCGAGTCAAGTCTAACTTGTGCTGAGGTCACAATTCAGACACGGGGCCCGGCCGGGCAGCTTTTGAGAACGATATATATATATATAAAAGACAACAAAACACAGAAAAGTTATAATAATATAATAATCATGGGCATCATTTCTCATATTCTAGATATAAATTGGTAATTTTTCGTAATTTACATACAGCCCGGCCGGGCCCCGTGACCCCGTGACCCCGGAAATGTGACCTCAGCATTTACAGGGTAGCACTGCAGGAGGAGAATACGCTGGGAGTTTGAAATTCGGCGACGTTATGGCGATCAACAAATTCGAAAGGTCGTTGACCTTGTAATGGCCTCTTTTACTGATGATTCTTTCTTCATGGTGACGTTATAAGATATGACGTCAAGACCAAATCACATGAACTTCACATGAGCTGTCCTCATCATGTGCACGTGATGTCTGGGCCGGATGTAAACCCAGAAATGTGCGTCAGAAATAGCCACAAATGACGCAGAAAATTCCATTTTGACGGTTTCATGCTTTTCGTGACGTAGTTTAGATCAAACTACAGGTTTTTGATAGAAAGCGTGTTTAAAACTATATTTAAAAATATAGTTTTAAACACGCTTTCTTTTTTTGTACTGGTACTAGTACAAAAAAAGAACGCCCGATAAAAAGTTGAAAACACGCCAAAAAATAAGCCCAAACCTCTGCTTGGAGAGTAACTCTATTTACAGATGTTTACCAACCAGTTACGAAATTTATGAACCGAACCCGCGACCCGCATCCTCCTACGAACGTTAGAATAAATAAAAGACGATAAAATCGTCCAGAAAAGCCCGATCCATTAACGACACACCTATTGGCTTCCCGCGTTCTGACGTGTTGCGCCAGGTACTTTTAAACCAACACCGGACAACTCCTTATCTACTAATACAAACAGGAAGGAACCGTTTTGCCTTACGTACTAAGCGCGGGTTTGTCGGCGCAGGTACAAATAGCGAGGAAGGCTTCTGTCTTCCTCTACTTTGCCAAAGACTTCGTCACAACTCAGAACCTAACAGAAGTACTACGATATGATTTGGTGTCTTCTTCTTGTTGCTCTGGCAGCGCGCGGAGGTAAGCGTTTTGGCATTATCTTCCTCTTACATCTAAAAGAAAACCTTAGGGTACATTTTGAGTTTATAGAAGAAGAAGAATGAAGACCTTTATTGTACATTTTGCCCCACTGGGCTAAAGACAGGTCACATATTGACATAGTACACAAGTACTTTCAACTTCCTCTCGCTTTCTGGTATAAAAGATTGAACTTTCAATGAGTGCCTTGTCTAGTTTAGTCGGTAAAAAAAAGTAGACATATCGTGATCTAGGTTAGCTAGAATATATATTTTAGTGGAAACGTGGAACGCAACGCGCAGTTATAGTTTCAGAGTATCAGAGAGAGATACTAGTATTCCAATAGCACATTTTACAAGTGCAACGAACAGTGACATTCTGGTATAGATACAGATGTCAAAATGTTATCAAATTAGGATCGATTCGACTTACTTCATGAAGAAAATGACAAGAACATATATTGCGCTAGGTACACCCCTGTGTGAGAATGCCCGTCTGGGCCGAACTTACATGTGCAATGCCAAAAGTGTAATGTTGATGGCCGATTCACAACTTTCTTTTTTTTTCTTTTAAACTTGCGCTCTTGATCACTGTTGGTCGTTTTAATGACTTTCCTCTTGTTTTTCCGGTGTCGTTTTTAGTGTTTCCCTTGACTCAATAAAGATGATGTTAAACACACTTTGAAAATCCAGCGCTTAAGTCACTTGGGTGCCTTAAGTCGCTCTTGCCTTTTTAATTGAAAGAAAAACAGTTTTGAAAATCGTTTTAGGTGTCTTTGATTTACGTCTGTCTTGTCTCCCCCTGCCCAGACGCGTGGCTGTTCAGCTGCAGCTCCTCAGATTTCCAGTGCGCTAACGGGAACTGAATCCCCGCCAGCTGGGAGTGCGACGGAGACCGCGACTGCTCGGACGGGTCGGACGAGGCCAGCTGCAGCGGTAAAGGGACCGGTGTTTTCCCGCTATACTGCTTGGCTCTCTGTTTGTTATGTGTATGTATGTGTGTCTGTCTGTCTGTCTGTATGTAGTATGTATGTATGTATGTATGTATGTATGTCTGCGTGTGTGTATGTATGTATGTATGTGATTAGGCACGATATTTCAAGAAGCTATGGATGGACGGTTCATGATATGAAAGCTCATGATATGAGCATGAATAGTGGACGAATAGTGTGTCGAAGTAGGACATACAATGCCCTTATCCTCCTGGTATTAAAAATGATAGTGATCACGAATCGGCGTTAGCTCACTGGAAAGCTATTTTTGAGAAGTGTCAGAGACGACAGCCGCTACTAAAAGTATTTACAGTGTTTACTGGTTCATTGACGTACCAGGGAAATTCCCCTAGTTCTTTTCGACAAGTTCAGTGAAAAGTGGACCACCCTGCGGAGTATCAGCGTGCATGCCTGGTGAGCAAAAACAGCCGTCCAGAGTATCACTAGACTACGCACGCTACTACTTTGGTGTCTTATATATGCTAGAAGATGCAACTGAATTGCATGATTATCAGCGTTTTCCTTGTTTTGTTACCAGGTGGAACCTGCCAGCAAGGCGTGCATTTCTTTTGCGCTAACGGCCAGTACTGTATCGACTCTGCCTGGATCTGCGATGGAGACAACGACTGTGGGGATATGTCTGATGAACAGAACTGTGGAGGTACGTGAGCGTACGTCCTAGTGTAACAACGCGTTAATATAGTGTTGTAATCTTGACGGTAATGTGTTCTTGCCAGTTCTAGTTCAGATAGCTTTTACATGTAGGTAGGCTAATAGGATAGTAACACAGACCGTCTCCGTATTAAGAATAGCATTTTGATACCCCTGTTTTTGCATCTGAATTGTGACTGTTCTTATGTTACGAATCGTCTTGATATTATAAATATAGCAAACGCCTGTTGTTCAGGTCAGATACCTGCAATTAGCTTGTCAGGGTCGTCTTAGTTTTCAGAGCAACTTCTCTGTTATCTCTGTTAATGTATCTGAATTGTAATCGTTCTTGTTTTATATTGTAAATTGTCCAGTTATGACGAGTAGCCTGTTAATTCGTAATGGTCTCCGGCTAGTTGGGCAGTCCTGACTGTATATCTCTTGATACATTTTAATGAATCATCATCATCATCGGTCGGCTGCAACGCATGCGACTGCAAGAGCATTCCATTTCCCCTCCCCTTGTCGCTAGCAAGGTTGGCTATCTGCTTCGCCGACAATTGGTTAATTGTAGTCGTCTCCCAAAAGTTGCAAATAAATCATTATCTGTGTTCCCTTTAATGCAGGCGGCGGCACCACCGACCCCACCGTGCCCATCACGTCCTTTGACGGGGACTGTGGAGAGCCGGCCATCGCCCCTCAGAACGTGCGCGTGGTGGGCGGTGTGCAGGCCGTGCAGGTGTGGTATAGTGTATTTATGTTTACCGAAGGAAAACACAAAAGACCAATGACCTGAACCAGACGTCTTTCACCATGGTAACTGGTGTTGGGTTACATAATGTTGCAATTTTATAGTAGGAGGGATTTAGACTCCTAGCCTGTCACCATATACATGAAGAACATACAGACAGATACGTGGGTACAACAAAATTGACCAACTTACAAGACAATAGATGAATCAAATTATACTATTTGTTCTAAGGTCTAAACATTCTTTGATATGTTTACCTACTTATATGCCTGTTCTTTTCTCTACACAGGGCTCCTGGCCGTGGCAGGCCAGCCTGAAGCTGTGCGGCGGTCACGTCTGCGGAGGACAAATCATCGCGCCCAACTGGATCGTCACCGCCGCTCACTGTGTCGACGGGTAAGGCCGCCTGCTTTAGCTAGAGTGATGTGGGTTACACATAGCCTCTACCAGGCTGGAAAGAGTAGAAATCAGCCAAAAAGAACTTTGCTGGCTTTGTTATCTGTCTTTCTGGCCAATTTCTACCGGGGAGAGAAGCTTTCACCGGCAAACTCCCTCGGTGGCAGAGCAGTCCCTCCGCGGCATAACTCGCGTCGCCCCCCCCCCAAAATCAACGCCGCCGCCCTAATGTCTGCCAAGGAGGCTAGAGCAACACCATTTAAAATAAAAAATCCGTACTACTCCTTCCTTCGTTTGAGGCATGCAGCCGCAATCAACAGATTGAAGATTCTGCCGCCTGTAGGTTTAGACTTTAGCTCGTTAATCCAGTGTTCTGTTATCTTATGTTTTCCACAGACAGAGCAACCCCAGCTCGTGGCGTGTGTCCCTGGGCTCCCACCGCAGAACCACCACAGACTCCACCCAGCAGGACTTCAACGTCGTCAGGGTCATCATACATGAGAACTTTGACTCTAGGCAGTAAGTAAATCCGTTCGATCATTCATTCATTCATTCATTCATTCATTCATTCATTGATTCATCCATCCATTCATTCATTCATCTATCCATTCGTTCGTTCATTCACTCATTCATTCAACACGAGAAGTATGACTCATATTAATGCAGTAAGTTGAATCCTCATTGGAGAGCCAGAAAAATGAATACATACATGTGCAATCATAAAATGCTACAATATAAAAGACAAGTTCTCTCATAAGGGACTAGATATCATTGTCCAGCTATAGGAACTACCGTAGTTGTATTGCACAGTGAGACTTTCTCCACTGAAGTGTCTACAGACTAGTAAATGTTCTACTGGGTCCTAAACCGTACCTGAGCCAAGTTATCTCTTCCCACTATTTTCACTGAGGGTTTTCAAAGCATGTATTGATTACATCCACTTTTTCTCCTTCCCAGGATGAATAACGATGTTGCTCTGATGAAGCTCAGCGGAAACGCCCAGTACAACAACTACGTCAGCCCGATCTGCCTGCCTACCCAGGACGTACCTGCTGACACCCCCTGTGTTACTACCGGATGGGGAGATACTGGTACGGAATAGTGGCTTTCCTAAGTTTAAACTTAACGTCCATGTCCTTGGTGCTGAACACTATCCGATAACACTGACACACACACACACACACACACACGCACGCACGCACGCACACGCACGCACGCACGCACGCACGCACGCACACGCACGCACGCACGCACACGCACGCACGCAAGCACGCACGCACACACACAAACACACAAACATCCCTGTCTTTGGTGCTGAACATTATCCGCTAACACTGACAAACGCATCCCTGTCCTTGGTGCTGAACATTATCCGCTAACACTGCCACAGACATACATCCCTGTCCTTGGTGCTGAACATTATCCGCTAACACTGACACTGACATACATCCCTGTCCTTGGTGCTGAACATTATCCGCTAACACTGACACTGACATACATCCCTGTCCTTGGTGCTGAACATTATCCGCTAACACTAACACTGACACTGACATACATCCCTGTCCTTGGTGCTGAACATTATCCGCTAACACTGACACTGACATACATCCCTGTCCTTGGTGCTGAACATTATCCGCTAACACTGACATACATCCCTGTCCTTGGTGCTGAACATTATCCGCTAACGCTGACATACATCCCTGTCCTTGGTGCTGAACATTATCCGCTAACACTGACATACATCCCTGTCCTTGGTGCTGAACATTATCCGCTAACACTGGCACTGACATACATCCCTGTCCTTGGTGCTGAACATTATCCGCTAACACTGACACTGACATACATCCCTGTCCTTGGTGCTGAACAATATCCACTAACACTGCCACATCCCTGTCCTTGGTGCTGAACATTATCCGCTAACACTGACACTGACATACATCCCTGTCCTTGGTGCTGAACATTATCCGCTAACACTGACACTGACATACATCCCTGTCCTTGGTGCTGAACATTATCCGCTAACACTGACACTGACATACATCCCTGTCCTTGGTGCTGAACATTATCCGCTAACACTGACACTGACATACATCCCTGTCCTTGGTGCTGAACACTATCCACTAACACTGCCACATCCCTGTCCTGGGTGCTGAACATTATCCGCTAACACTGCCACAGACATACATTCCTGTCCTTGGTTCTGAACACTATCCCCTAACACTGCCACATCCCTGTCCTTGGTGCTGAACATTATCCGCTAACACTGCCACAGACATACATCCCTGTCCTTGGTGCTGAACACTATCCCCTAACACTCACACACGCTTCGGGAGCGGCAAAATGTTCTGTCAGCACGTACCAACTCCCCTGGCATGTTATCTGTCTTTCTCGTCGGTCACTCTATCTAGCCACTTCCCGAAGCCTGGTAAATGCTACTCAAGTCTTAGTCTTACCCGTTCCACATCATTGATCGTAAGTTTATTTCTCCCCTCTAGGCTCCGGAGCGTCTACCTACCTGATGCAGGTCACCGTGCCCATCATGGAGTGGAACAAGTGTAACAGCGCCCAGTACATGAACGGAGCTATCACCGACAAGATGATCTGCGCCGGGTACGATCAGGGCGGCAAGGATACCTGCCAGGTGGGTTCCCTTTCTTTGACTTTGACTTTCTTAGGATCCATAATCTAGAAAGATTATGGCGCCCTCCGTCTCTGTTGAGGGAAGATGATCTGTACCAGGTACGACCAAGGCGGCAAGGACGCCTGCCAGGTGAGCTCAGTTTTTACGACTTTGACTTTCTTAGGATCCACAATTTAAAAGTTTATAGCGCCCCCCGTCTCTGTTGAGGGAAGATGATCTGTGCCAGGTACGACCAGGGCGGCAAGGACGCCTGTCAGGTGAGTTACCTTTCTTATGTTTACCCTCGCAGAAGGAAACATGTTGTTTTTGGTCAGTTTCATCTTCTTCTTCCGTTCCAAACAAATAAAGTCATTGACCTGCAGTAACTGAGTTGGAGGGTCTGTTCATCATACAAATGACGGTATTTTACTTTGAGTAAGAATTAACAGTGCAGCAGTCTGTTGTGTTAGACCAGGTAAAGGCAAACATTATGCCTTTGCTTTGCAAATGTTACCTTTCTAGTTTGACTTTGACATTATTAGGATCCACAATGTAGAAAGTTCATGGAGTCCCCCGTCTTTGTTGAGGGATGGTTGCAAGGCCATGATGTATATGACAACTGGATTGTCGCTTCAGTAACTGGGTTTGGGGTATCTTCAATATTACCTGGATGTCTACCCCTACAGACCTGAAATTGCATTTGGTATTAAATGTTGGATACTGTGTGTTTCAGGGTGACTCCGGCGGCCCTCTGGTCTGTAACTACAGCGGGAAGTGGACCCTGGACGGAATCGTGTCCTGGGGATACGGCTGTGCGCAGGCGTACAGGCCCGGCATCTACACCCGCGTCACTCAGTTCGTCAGCTGGATCAACAACAAGATGGCGACCAACTAGACTGAGCATAGCAGCCGGTTCAGTAACATCTAACGTGACGAATCTAGCTCTTAAGCAGCTTATTCAGTAACATGTAACGTGGCGAATCTTTAGCCCTGTCACACCGACATATAATATGGCCAAATAGAGCGATAACATGTCAGGGGAGTTGGTCTGCTAGAGAGTACAGTTAGCCAACCGGGTGTATGTTCGGGATGCACATTTGACTCACATTTAACTCAAACTCGTTCTGACACGTATAGAAAGGTAGGCGTGCCCTTAATCTGGTCATACTGCTCCCAACTTCAGGAAACCTTCGTTACTATTTATAATACTTGGCGGCCGAGGGAAGTGTAACAGTGGGGGTTTATAGGCGCCACCAGCAGATCCGGCAAAGGGGTCTAGACCTTTTCGGCCGAGCAGTCAGAGTGTCCGCGTGTGGAGTGGCGCCCGGGTTTGGTCGTGGGTTCGAATCCCGGCCAGTGGGTTTTTATCTGTTTCTACTGGCTCCTGGTTTTGAATAACAGTGATACACATACTGGCCGCTAGAGGTCGCCCCATGCTACAAGTGTTACTTACTCTCATAGCCATGAACAAAATTGCCCTTGCTGCAATATAGGATGTGTGTGTGTGAACACAGATAAGCAGAGTGAGTGATACTGAGTGATGGAGGGAGGGAGAGAGCGAGTAAGTGAATGAGAGCGACTGAGTGAGTGTGTCGCGGTAGTCAGTAAGTGTTAAACAATAGAAAGTACAGTTTGTGGTGGTAAAATTATGTCTGACACCACAAAAAGACACAAATTGTTACATTGTATTAGCTTTATTTATGCAGAAAGAGAATAAAATAAAAGGAAATAAAATTAACACTAGAAAGGTAACATTTGCAAGCAAATGCAATATGTTTACCCCAGGATGGTCTTGCCTACGATTTAGCGTTATACCTTTATTAGGAAAGGATGGGTAGAAGGATATTTTGCTTATATTAGTTTGACGACCTGCTAGATCACTTCGATTCAAATGGGAGGTTATTTGCCGATGACTGCTTGGTTTTAAATAAAGTTGTCTACACAGTCTAATACAATGACCCCAGCACGTTGTTGGCACCCGCGCGCGAGAATGGTAAAGCCAACTGAAAGTTTAAACAAAAAAATGTTACATTATGCACACACATAAAGTCAGCGAACGCAACATGTGTAACTAGCTGCAGTTTTGTGGTATTGTCCGTAATATTGTATTGTCCGCGGCCGTAATCTCCAAGCAGATTCGGTGCGGCATGGGGACGTAATGTGCTGCCTACATCCACTATTTGCCGCCTGTATCCAACGCCATGGGGATACAGGCCGCCAACGTTAACATGAAGTCTCCTGGTCCCACCGAATCTGCTTGGAAATTACATTGTCCGTGGCGCGGCCGTACGCCGGCGGCGCAAGAAGATGTTTACCTCCTCGAAAAATAGAGGTATTGTTTTTGGTGTGTCTGTCTGTGTGTGTGTCTGTGACTCTGTGTGTCTGTGTTTCCGCACATTTGTAGTCAGCATGATATATATAAAATTACATGTAAAATAATATAACTACATTTGCATAAATAATGAGGAAATTGAGTAATTCCAGTGTTTTACATCATGGTACTTTGATACATGTAATGTTTATAATCTATGGCAGGTGGAAGATAACCAGATACCAATTATGCAACTACGGACCTAATTTGCATAATCAATCTGAAAGTTCTATGACTCCTTAGTGGTAAATGATGGGAATTTCATACTTGGGACATGTGTAAGCTGATCAAAAGTTAACATCACGATGCATTTATTATGTTAATGTAGGGTTCATTGGCATAATTAAAGAAGAACTTTACATTTACATGTCAAGCCCATATTTCATAGAGGTATGAGATCTCGGAACTCTTGTTCAAAAAGTGTATCTTGCTTAGGTTTAACCAAGGACGTGATGAAAGCTCCATGGTTCAACATTAGAGGAAAGATCTACAGCCCGGCATTACAACTTCGGCACAGCCCATACTGGTTGATTTTAAGGATACGAGCGTTTTGGTTTTTTATTTACATCATGTGTAACAGGCCTGGCCTATGACGTAGTGCTGATTAGACAGTTTAGATCCTTTATAGCCAACGGTAGCTGGTGAGAGCAGCTTAGTACTACGATAGGGTTCGTTTGAATTCAGTCGAGACCGAGGATCAGGTTAGTTATAGTTAGCTCCGTTGTAGATTGAATACTAGAGTTCCACGATCTCATACCTTCGCCAAATGATGTTAGCATTTATGACTAAGAAATTATTGATTAATCCCCCTGATTGTGCAAATAGGATCCTATATTGCATCAATTATATCTGTTGATCATATTCTACACCAGAAGACAGTCTCATCTTATCAAAGAATGGCATTATAGCATTTCCTCATAAATTATGCAAATGAGTCTTTGAATAAGTTATGTTTGATTATGTTCACCTTCACATAACTTTCAAATATCCCAAGTATGAAATTCCAGGCAGTTACCACTATGTAAGTATAACATTTTCTAATTAATTATGCAAATTAAGTCTTCATTTGCATAATCGATATCTGCCTGTATTTCTGCCGCTCTTAATTACATATGTCACAAGCTTGAATAGTCCTATCATGGAATGCAGCTGATTTATAGAATTTCCTCATTAATTATGCAAATTACATTAACATTTGAATAATTATAATATTATCATGTTAAGCATCACTTCAGCTACCTACATGCCAAAAATCATGACGACTCATCAATCGGTTCTTCAGTTATCCGCCTTTAAACATTTTTCAACTAACGCCCCTGCAGTTCCAGAGCAAGCCGCTAGAGGGCCCAAACTCATGCCACTTCTTTCCCAGTACAAGAGCTACCTACCACCCCAATTTCGTCACCCTAGCATGTCTACATCACGAGATATCAAAACCGGAAGTTCAGCTGCAGTACCATAACAAGCCGCTAGGGGGTCCACAATTTAATCAGTTCCACGTCTCATGAAGACCTATCCACCTACCAAATATCAAGACAATCCATCTAAGCCTTCTTGAGTTATCGTGCTGACACACACACACACACACACACACACACAGACACACGAACGCCAACGAAAACATAACCTTCTTGGCGAAGGTAATAATGTTAATTCCATCTGTACTTAGTAGACCATTGCATATCTCTGTTGTAGTAGATCCGCAACTCTAACTCCGCAACTAGACCATTGGGCTGTTCCAAAAAAAATTTGGAGGGGGGTTGAAGAGCTTGGATTTTCTACTTTCTGACTCCCCTTCATTATTATCCGAGGGCCTTGATCCCCTTTTCATTTCATCTATATCCAGGTTAGCCTGGGTACCATCCTATGTGTATGCCGGAGCTCCCACACTCGCTTCCCTGAAAATGATTTTAGCGCCACTTTCTTCTCCTGCCCTGTGGGCATTCGTAGCACATGACTCATAGCAACGCGCATGCAGGGGAGCCCGGGAGCAGTCCGACCGCTGAGGGGGTTGATCAGCAGTGATCCTTGTTGTCCCCTTGTGCAGATGAGTGTAAGGGCTCAACAACAATAACGTGTAACAACAACACAGCCACAGAGACACGGGACTCAGTCTGATGCTGAACAGAGAACCCCGTTTGTGGTGAAACAGTTTTGGTTCCAGTCTCAACAGGGCGGACTAGTTTATAGCTGATGCCATCACGGGTCCAAGGTTCAAGGTACTGAAGCCGTTTCACGGGAAAGGTCAAAGGTTGCAGCGCACGTTGTCAGAGCTCGCGATCCCGAAAAGTACAGTACTAGTATGTTAGGAATGGTTTTTGTGTTTCATTGGAGGGCGTATATATTAATAAAGGCATGATAATGTTGTTCTTGTTGTCTCTGTCACGTGGATGATTGGTAGCCTCTACCAGGCTTTGGGAGGGGGCTGGAAACGTTAATGCTATTGGCTATTATAAAATATATGCATGTATATCATTGATGGAGTTGTAACTCCATGATATCATGTATAACATGCCAGGGGAGTTGCACCACTGGAGAGTGGCAGACCAACTCGCACCCCGAAGCCTGGTAGAGGCTAGATGATCGCATGTGCCAATTTCTGCCTGCACCTCCATGCCTCCTAGGCTCCTTTGCAGACTTGTTGCATGTTGGTGTCAGCATTTTTTTTTCCTATGAGCGATGCGAGTAATATATAAAGTTAACGTTACATTTGTTATGTGTCTGTCTGTTATATCTTGACCTGTACCTACCTTGAATGTACAATAAAGGTATTTCATTATTATTATTGTTAATATGCCACGGAGGGACGATTTTGCTGCCTAGGGAGTTTTTCCCTTTTTGGTTGCCGACTGGAAGCAGACTTGTTGGAGTGCGAAACCTTCTCTCCACAGCAAAACTCCCTCAGCAGCAAAATCGTCCCTCCACAGCATATTAGTCGCGTCGCTCACAAAAAAAAACAAAAAAAAAAAACACCGTCGCCCAACAAGACTGCGAAGAAGGCTACTAGTACATGCCTCCTCAGTCTCACACTCACCTCACTGTCAGTGCTGCTCTCATGTTAGCCATTTTATGATAATTTTCGGGTTGATGGATTGTCAAGCTTGGCTGGTCATGTTATACGTGGTGAAGAACCAGCCAGTAGGCTTCTACTTTGGAACCCTGATACAAAGAGAAGAGTTGGACGTCCAAACATAACACTTAAAAATCTTAGAAACTGAAATAGGCTTGGAAGGCCAGGAACTGATCTCTGCGATGAATGACAAACTGTTCTGGAGATCAAACTTTGTATGCTCCACCTCTTCGGAGGATGTTAGATGATGATGATGATGGATTGTCAGGATTTTTTGTCTTTATCAGACGTGTTATAGCTACCAGTGTTATAACATATCTAGATGATAACTATGCAAATCAGGATCTAATTTGCATAATCAATGTGGAAATTTTATAACCTGGTGCTGCCTTTCCATGACAGGACTATTCAAACAGGTGATGATGTAATTGAGAAAAAAAAGATTGGTGCATTGACAGATAAACGTTATGCAAAAATTTGCATAATTAGTAAGGTTTTGGTTCTTCTTTTAATGCCCACAATCACGATTCATAATGATCATTAATTAACACCTGACCGAAGTGAGGAAAGTCGTGCGAGGTGCCTTTCCCAAGGACACAAGGTTGGTGACATGGCAGGATTCAAACCTGGGACCTCTTGGTTCTGAGCTGAATGCACAGTGCTGTTACGCCACATGACCCCACTAAGGAGATACAGTAACTATATTTCCATAGTGGCAGGAATTTCATACTTGCGGCATTTGGAAGTGAAGTGGAAGATTGAAGACATGATTCTCAAGTACACATCACAAGTTTGATTTGTCATATTTGTGCAGCAGATTTATAGAATTTCCCATTAGTCATGCAAATTAGATCCTTTTCAAATTGTTATGTATACACCACGGAATACCACGGAAAACATACTCACAGTTTCCATGTCGTACCATTTATTTCAGGTTGTAGCCTTGGTATATATGGACCAGCCAAGTTGACGGCAGTGAAATGGCAACTCGTGAAGAACAGTTCCATTACATCAACAAAGGGCAGGAGGATGAACTGGTATAAGTTATCAATTATTATTATCATATAGCCAGAAGGCGTCGACCAATTAGAAGGCTCCATTTGCCATTGGTAATCAGGCCGTAAACTCAAAAGTGGTCGGTTATTAGAATACTAGTAACCGACCACTTTTTGGACCTAACCACTAAACGGGACAGGGCAGTAGTGTTGAGTCTTGTAGTATTCATCTATTAAGAATGTATTGTAGTTTTTTCAATAATGTATAAAAAAGATATAAATGGTTTTAAACACAAAAAGACTAAACATAGTTTTGACACCCTCACTAAAATAAAAGTGGTACTGTTTCACATGTCACGTGGTCACTGCAGATGATTGCCTAGATGATCTGTTTTTCTGCCAATGCCATCCATGGTTTCACGTAACATAGAATGTGAGAGTTTTTTTCAGCAATGGAGGAATTTTATTAAGGAATTTTTGTCAAATAAATGTGTCAGTAGGCTATATGATAATAAAGTTAATACCCTGCCTTATCCTCAGTGTTTATGGTGATATAATCCCTGGTCAGGTGCAATAACCACCTCATTGTACAATTCCAACATCTCACTGTGATAACGAAGTTATCGTTTCCATGTAACGTTATATGTATGATTACAAAATGGTTATAGATTTGTGTATGTTTAAGCAAATGTTAGCTCCTATTGTTTATTAGTATAGTCCTAGTGTTTATTGATATTCTCTATCTCTGTTTTGTCAATTTGTACTGTTACTATTTTGTACAAAAGTCTGTACTTTCTGTCTGTGGTACTTGGTTTAAGAAGGAGTTGGAATGACATAATTTAATTTAAGAAATGGTGGTTGAAGAGGGGTAACTGCAATGATATCCAATGCTCATATTGTGTTTTTTTCATCCACCAGGAGTGCCATGGGTTTAAGAGGGATAAGGTGAAGACTTCAGTCACAGCTGTGTTTGCCCTGTGCACCCTGGGACTTCTGTTCCTGGTGTTCTACTGGAGGCCAGAGTGGTTTGTGTGGGCACAGTTTACATCATGTGCACCTGGGGAGGCTGATGTGGTGCTGTTACGAACAATGGTGAGATCAAGTACTTATACGCAAAAGGTTTTAAACATGCTTTTGTTACAGTTAGGCCTAGGAAAAAGTTGTGTTTACTGTTTCCTGACCAACCCTAGAAAAACCTGCCGACTCTAGACCTGTTGTTGTGCCCTTGGTAAAGGTGCTGTACATGACTTTTCTCACTTCACTCAGGTGAAAATGAGTATCTAGCTTTGGTTAGGGACATCCCTCAGATAGAACATTCCATGGAGGTCCTGTGTTTGGGTAGAGCCACACCCCAGGAACATTAAAGAGCCCACCACACCTTTTGAAAAATAAAGAGTAGGGGCATGCCCCGGTGAGATTGTCTGGAAGTTGGTGATTCAGTGATGCGCCCCATGTTGTTGTATCAAGCTAACGAAAGGCTGCATATGCATATTACCCTGTAAGGGGACTTAATGGCTGCTGATGCCGCTGATGATATACATGTACTACCACACAATGATTTTTTGTGTTTTGTTCTTTGTTTTTCAGGATGACTACCGGACTTGGAGTAAGGAGAGGGTCAACATTGAAACCAAGGGCAGCATGCATCACCAGATCTCACTGTTAGAAACTAGGTATGTATGATGCAAATTATTGGTCAAGTGTCTCTTTATCACAGCCTGAGGGCTACACAATAATGTACCCTCACATCCCTGCTAGCTACATGTAACGTTACATGATTGTGTTACTAGTAAGTTTGAAGACTACATGACACCAATAACAACAAAATGCAACTGTCTTGACATCTGTTGGTGAAGGTTAGACATCCAGGTGATACACCAAAAAAAAAAAACCGTTACTCAATCAACTGGATATGATTTTCGAAATGGTCAGATGTTTCAGGTAGCTATATATAGCATCCACTACCTTTCATCAGTGACATATATTGGAGACTTGTCAGAAAGGCGTTATAAGCATGAACTATTATTGACATCTTCTAATCACTAATATTGACATCTTCACAGGAATGCCAATGTAACACAACTTTATCATAATCTGACCTACATATTATCCAGCCTGTACCCTTTCCTAAAGAAGTAGTCTTCCAAGACTGGACTGCCAATGACTAACCCTTTCCTACAGTTTTTACCCTTGGAAAATGAAGCCAAAGTTTGTTTGTAAGTTGTTTGATGTTGTTCCTGCAGATGTGATGGTGACACACACCAGCTACAGGACCTGCCCACTCTGTCAGTAGACAGCAGTCCTGACAAACCTATCATCCAGGGGGGAGGGCAGTCTGATGACGTAAGAAATGTGTGTGTGTGTGTGTACATGTGTGTGTGTGTGCGTGTGTGTGTGTGTGCGTGTGTGTGTGTTTGTGTGTGCGTGTGTGCTTCTGGATATTTGTGGCCAGCACAATTTAGACCATATGACACCAAGAACACTGAAATGAAACTGTTACAGTACTTGACAATAGTCAAACATGATAGCTATTATTCAATGAACAAATAGACTTGGACCAAAACTACACTATTCTGATGTTAGGGGGTGTAGAATCTTGCAAATAATCCTCCCAGTTCTTGATATCTGCCGCCAATTTATGCAATTGACTTCATGACATCACAGTGAGCATGGCGGCTGGTTCAGAACCTGGCACTATCGCTCGTAAAACACGTTTATTTAAGAAGCAAACAAAAGCAAACAATAGCTATTATTTATGAGCTGTGGTTCCAGGTTCTGAATTGGCCGTCATGCTCATTGGCAGAATTTAATTGGATTAACTCACGGCAGAAATCAAGAACTGGAAGATAATTTGCAAGATTAGATGTTCTCTATTAAACATCTGAAGAGTGTATTTTTGGTCCAAACATCTTTGATCATTGAATACCTAGAATGTTAGCCTATTTTCAGGAACCGTCACACTTAAGTGTCATTGGTATCATGTGGTCTTTGTTGTTGTTGTCCTAATGTTTAACATCTTGACTTGACTGATATTATCTAACATCTTGCTAGACGTAGTCTCTTGGTGCTGGTCTGTGCTTGGTTTAGTTAGGAGTCAAATTGTCTCTATACATACTCTCTAGTAGGTATTTAACTCTAACTTCGTGTCTTAAACAGTAACCAAGCCTTTACCAGTAGCCAAGCCTGCTATAATTGTCATCTTCCCCCTCAGCTGCATGTATACCACGGCAACCCCATTACATTGCCACACTGTCAACTTTTCTAAAGATGGGTTCTTTTTCCTGTTTTACAGCAGAGCTCACGTTACTTCATTCATCACTGTTTGAAGTATGTGTGGAACGCAGAGAAGCAAACTTTTGAAAAAGTCAGGTAATGTTGTTTACTTATTAAGCCTTCCTTTTCTTTACAGTGTTTCTTAGGGCTGCGTACCTTTTCGTAACATCAGGTACAGGTACAGAGGTTTAAGTCCAGGTCCGTGTACCTGAAAATTCACGCGTGTCACATGTTCTAATGAAATTCTTCAATAATGACAGAAACATGAATAAAGTGTTGACAATTTGTCCTGTATCTTTCAAAGAACATCAATAATATAACCATGGATGATATAACTAGGTTTCCTATCTCACTTCTCACTAGTTCTCAGTCACCCTCTTAGTGACCCATAGTGACCCACACTTACTGAACTCTGTATTTTAACGCTGGATGTTCATTTTCCTGACAGGCCTCCTTGTGTGTAGTGATCAAGTATTAATTTTTGTTCCGGTCCCAAAAAACGGTCCACTGACGTTTTGGTTTTTTCGAACTGGACCGTTACTATTTTCCCGGTCCACACCTGGACCGTTATGCAGCCCTAGTGTTTCTGTCCAGCTTATCTATCTGCTTTAGGGAATTTTCACATTAATTTTTCACATTTCACATTTGCAACATGAGTGAGTTTAGGACCCTGTTTGCACCATGGTTTGTGAATCTGGCTGAGCAATGAAACTTTTGATACCACCCTACCTATGGTTGACTTCGGATACAATTCTCCACAAGCACATGCACTTATGTAACGTTTCCACTGCCTTTAAAGCGAGTCCCGACATGTAGCGCAGCAACGATAGAATCTAAGCTCTGATTGACTTGATGCCATATCTGCATTACACAATAGAACTATAGCTACACTGAATGGTTTCCATGGCTTTGTTTCCTTGTGCTATTTTGGGATCTATTGTGTTTTATTTTGCTAATGATTTTTAAAATCAAATAGTTCCATTTTGCACTTTCTGTACACTCGTGCTCAATTTCGACCCCTAACTCCCCCCCCCCCCTAACCACTGCTGACCTACCCCCAACCACCAGCCAATCAGTCCCCAACCATGGCCCAACTTCCCATCCACAACCTCGCTGTCACAGCTGACCTTGCTCCCAACCTTCTCCCAACCATGGTTTGGGGAAGGATGCAAGTGGTCATGAGACCAGTCAGCTTGTAATACTTTCTGTGTGATTGGCGTAAGATTTTCTGTGCATGTTGTTATTAGTCTTTCCTTCTTTGAATTTGTCAGATTTTCTCTCAACAAACTGTAGTGCATTTTATGTTTTCTGACAGGGGTTTGGACTCGGGGATGCCATGTTCATTATTCTACACATTGCGGCAGGGATTGTCTTCCCCGGATCAAGAAAACCGGTTAGTAACCAATAAGTAGAACCTGAGCTGCTATTTATGTATTGATAAAAAGTCAGTCAGTGATCCCTAATGCCTTGCTCACAATTGCAAACACAGCCGGTAAAAAGACTACAGGCAACTCCCTTCTCCACTGTGCAATAAGACACTACACACGGCGATTTGTTACTGCGGTAGTCTTTCCCATTGCTAGGGGCGTTCGAAAAAGTATCGGTTTACAATTTTGGGCTAACCGTAAAACATTTGAAAATAAACAAAATAGTATCGGGAAGATACTCTGGTACCGTAAGGCCTGGTCCACAGCACCCCTAGGAAACCCTCATTATACTATTATAATGACCTACTTTAATATTACAATGAGCAAAGTGCTAGGGAAAAGGCTTGAATATGCAGCAGGCCAGGCGATAATTGCACCCCACTGTCCCGCCCCGTGTTTTGCATTTGCTTACTGCCTAATTTCACACCTCCTTCCCAAGCCATTGACTTCGGTCAGTTCTACTCTCCCAGTTACATGTAAAAGAAAATTACTTGGTAAAAAAGTCAATTTGAAAGTAATATGAAGTAACACATCTTTCAGAGCTCTGATACTAGTATGTAATACTGAAAAGTTTGAAAAAGCAGGAAATGTTGTAACATTGTAACATAAGAGACTTTTTTCAAACTAGACGGTTATGGGGAATACTAGTAAACTGAGTATATACAAGGCCATTCTTATCTTCTTGTATCAAGGTCAGGACCGTATGCGTTATATATAAACCTAGGCATTTCCAGTCTCTTTGATTCGCAAAAGATGCAGTTTAATAAAAGTCACAGTTATTAGTAGCAATGTTCTGTAACTAGACCAATACTGTTAAACAAACTAAACAATGAAAGATTGTATCTTGATTTCTCATGAGAGAAATGAAACCCATAACCAACATTGACGCTGATAATTCTTGTAAATTACAAACACCCTACTTTTGCGCCCAAAAAGCTCAGTCATGATTCAATTGTCAAACATTCCTTTGTCCTTTAATCTGGTAAAATGACACAATGCAGGCAAACTACGCGTGGGGACGCCATGTTATGTCTTGTTTAGACATTTGGAGGATTCTGTACATCGCGACCAAGATAGGAGGTTTTCCGAAGCTTATTGTTGCAACCAAATTTACTTGGTACTTGTTGAAAATTTACTTGGTACTTGTGTCTGTTCTTGGCCTGTTATATATCTGAAATGGTTTGAAAAGCCATACTGGTTTACATACTCATACAGGGTATGAAACTATGTGCTATTCTCGTTTGGAAAAAAAAACTTCAAGTGACACAAAAACTGTAAATTCTGAAGATACCATGATGCTGAATTTTAAATGTAGCTTGTAGAATACCAGAACAACAAGAATGAGAAACATAAAGAGAAAGAATGCATTTGTTTCACCGGAAATGTAACAATAGATATTTGTAGCATGTATGTCCAAGCCAGACAACACAATACACATCGCCAAATCAGTGGCTTTTCGTCTCGCTTTAGGAAAAGTCATTCGGTATAATATAAATTACAGTCACACATTGGTTCACCTATTATACACCCCCCCCCCACCACACTCACACAAA